CCACAATCACTTGTAGTTTTGTCTATCTGTATGATGGTTTTGTCAGGCAAGAGTCACTGCCTCGGAGCCATTCTTAAAAAACTAAAACTGAAGCATTTTGCATCTTACAGTAATAATGTGATAATGAGAACTTAGTTATCAAAGCAAGAGCAGAATAGAAGGCCATTTGTTTTGCAGAGACAGAAAAAGATACTTTGTGAGGTCATGAGTTCGATTCCTGGGACCTCAAAAAAACAACCTCATGCTGAGTTAACACCCTTTACTTTTTTGGTCATCATTCTCAAAGCAAGTCAGTTTCCAGCAATTTCTCAGAGTGTGCTTTCCAGAGAGCTCTTGTTATTATTTCCACTTGAACACTGGGAAAGAGGTGGAGCCACTGGGAGTCCTGGGCGGGCTGAATGTCCCTGCTGGGGTTTTCTAGGCTGCCTAGGAGCCTGTGGGGCCTCTCAGGTTCCCTCCTGTCTTGCAGCCTCAGTTCCTGCCCTCTCCCTGCTTAGCCCAAGGCCGAAGGAACACGCGCACCTTCCTAGCTGCTCTTCACACGCACATTCATTTCCTCTTCCTTCTAGTTGGAAGCAGCAGAGATTTTAAAAGTAGTGGGGAGCTTTGCAGATTGTGAAATCTGAAGGTTTTTTTTGCTGACATAGATTTTGATTTCTAACATTGGCTTACATTTAGCAAATAACAGAATCCTCTAGATAGGGCAGAAAACCAACTTCTAGATAGATAGAAAACAAATTCCTGGGCCCCACTCCTGGAGTTCCTATTTTCATTTTTTCTTTTAAATACAGTATTTTAACTCTTGTGGCATTACAATTACTGAGAATGTGGTTAACAGTTTATATTCATTAAATCATCAAAATAATCAAGTATTTCATCATTTATTACAGTTTTTGAAAACTTTTTTTTTTTTTTGCAGATATTTAATACAAAGCTGCTTAAAGTCAAAGAAAGACACCTGTTTCTTGTCTATTTAGGAAGAGCACAGTATGACCCAGCAAAACCTAACTATATCTCTTTGGACAAATTAGTATCTATTCCTGATGCAATATTTTGCAAAGAGATTGCCAACGCTTCACTACAGGACTTTGAAAAATTCTTAAAAACTCTTTAGTTTTTGGTGAATATTAAAAGTAATATGGTAAAATGAATGTATGAATAAAGGAATATATTTTTTAAATAAACACCTCAGGCCTCAGTTGATACAAGAAAGAATTTCTTTACTCTGTGTATTTGGGTACATACTCTGGTAGATATTTCTTAAAGGTTCATAGTGACTTAATTTTTGTTTGACTCAACCATATCCATCCTACTAGGGAAGGAGAAAACTAAAATATAGCAAACTTAGAGATAAGGGAGGGAATTCACGGTGGGTTGGAACTGTTATGGTTCTGTTGAAGTTGGGAGTAATGGAGATTTTTCCGGTCTGGTATCCATGGGCCTTTTAAAGTGGTTTTAAAACAAGATGGATTTATTTTCTTTGAAATGTCTAATAGCAGTACTCAAGTGCCAAAAACATTCCACTTGCGATTATGTACAATTACCTTCCTAAGCACTGATATTGGAGGTTGCCCTCAGATGCCTACTAAAAATCAGGAAAGGCAAAGAAAAAGGAAAGTCTGAAGATAAGAGAAATACAGTGAGACATAGTTACAGCCATAGTAAACCTTTGACTGCCAGTACACAAAGATTTGTAACATGAGTTGATACCTCCTAGGCTAAGATTTAGTCTCTGAGTGTTAGCTTCTTTCTTTGTAAAATGAGGCTGTATGGCTACATACTTGCTTTAGGATTACTTGTTAGACTATTAACACTAGTAGTAGTCAGTGAACCACATGTAGCATTGACACACTTAAAGTCTTTTCCCATACTGACTTGACCAGTATGATTTGGTTGATAGGGCATAATCACGCAGAGATTAATAAACATTTGCATACTGGGGCTTGTCCTCTCAGAACATCTGTTGGAACCCTGAGCCACTGTGTAGAGGTCTGGTTATTAGAGAAATGAGGTGGAGATGAAAGTGCCTGCCTAAACGCCAGCTGGTCCGGTCACACCAGCTGAAGAGGTGCGTGAGTGAGATAGCTAATGCATGTTTGCCAGCCACACCAAGACTATCCAGTTGGATTCAGAATTTTTTTAAAATAAGTATTTTAAGCAAGTAACATTAGGAGCCATTTGTTGGGTACCAGGGTTTTGTGGTGTACTGGGTGTCCTAAAAGAAGCCTTGTGTCAAATTTCTAGTTGGTCAGAGCCAAGTATTTAGTGTCCTTCCTGTTAGACATTTCACTTGTCAACAGACATTTGAAAGGTCCTAGAATACAGTGGTGAATGTGACATGGATGTGTACTTTCATGAAATTCTTTAGCGGATGAGATCAACAAACAGGTACTGCTAGGAAGTCATATGAAACTATCCAATCTTTCTGAGCCTCAGAACTTCATTTTGCCTTTACAGACAGCTCTCATCAGAATAACCTAGCCATGCTGCTGTAGTGAACAGTCATAAAACATCAGGTGCTTTAGAACCATAAAGATTTTTACACATTCCCTCTTGACCACAAAGACTGTGTTCCTCCATCTTCTTCAATGACAACATGTTGATGGCTGCAGGACTTCTGTGCCAATCTGTGGAAGAGCAAAGTTATGTGGAAAATTGCTCATAAAGATTTTTCTTTTCCCCAAAGTATCACGTGGTTACATATAATGTTTAAAGAAGCAGAAGTATAATCTACGCTGTGCCAAGTGAGAGGGTAAAGAAAGAAAAACTACTACCAGCACACATCTGGGCTCTGGGCTCTGGGCTTACACCCGTAGAAGCTGTTATCTGCAACACTCCCGAGCATCTGATCCCTGTGTGTGAACTTGTCCTTCTCATCCCACCTGCACTTTAACCAGCACTAAAGGGTAAGGAGTGTACTGAATACCTCTGCTTGCCAGGCAGTGGGCCAGTGTATAAATGTACTGCATTTCTTTGTATTTTTCAGAGTTTGCATTCGTAGGATAGGCTGAAAGAGCCATTTATTAATGTTTAGGGCTGATTACAGAACCAAATCATGTAAGAAACTGGCAGTAGACAGAAAAAGGAAAAGGCAATAGAATTTTTGAATTGGTATATGAAAGAATAAGATCCAAAATGTACAACAGATTTGGTGAAAGGGAAAGGGTAAGAAACTACTCAAAAGGAAAACACTGTGATGGGAGATAAGAAAAAAGGGGAAAAAAGGGCTGGGGATTTAGCTCAGCGGCATAAGCGCCTGCCTTGCAAGCAGGCAGTCATGAGTTCGATCCCCGGTACCAATAAAAAGGAAAAAGACACAAAAAAAAAAAAAGGGAAAAGATTTTATATATATATATATATTTACACACATACAATAGATAAATTATACTACTGGTCTGTATTCACCAAAAAGAATGGTTTGGGCTTCCACTGTTTGATCAGTTTTTCATGTCTATCTTGTATTCTGAACAACTATTTTGAAGATAACACTACACAGTATATTAACCATTGTTCATTATTTTGTTTTGAAATTCTGTATCATTTTTATTTTTCCATTAAAGAATTGGTGACAGAGCATTATTAACATTTTGCATTTAGGAGAACATTATACTATCCCAGATCTCATCTTAAGACTAGAAAACCAGTAAAACAGGTAGATCTTGTTGGGCAGTAGAAGTGCACTAATAATTTAGGAAAATAATTTCCTAAATTATGTTCTGCCCCTAGGGATTTGTGTGCATTAGCCTTCATATATTTCAGCTGAGATCTTGAAAGTGGAAAAATTGCCGAGTATAATGGCATGCACTTGTAATCCCAGCACTATGGGAGGCCAAGACAGGATCACCATGATACACAGTGAGTTCAAGGCCAGCCTAAACTATGTAGTGAGACCCTATCTCAAACAAATAGAGCAAATTATACACTTTCTCTTAAAATTACTGTATATACAAATTCTGAAATACATATTAGATTTAGTGTTTTGAAAACTTTTCTGACCTAACTTTCCACCAAAATGGCTTGATGTAATCTTCAACCTGATAAACACACGGATTCAGTATCTTTCCCGAATTAGCAATGTAGAATGTAAAGTAAAAAGAGGTCTGAATTTACATCTCAGATTCTGGAATCTGAGTTCTTCCCAGCCATGTGCCCTTGGACAGGTTATTCAACTCTTTGTTTGTTTTTGTTTTTGGTACTGGGGATTGAGCCCATGGCTTTTCCACTTAGCTACATCCTCACCCTTTTCAAAAATTTTGAGACAAGGTCTCGCTAAGTTTAAATTCCTAGGCCAGGCTGGGCTGAAAACTTGCAATCCTTGCTTCATTCACCCATAAGGCTGGGCTACAGGCATGCACCATCACATCCATATAGTTATTTAACCTTTCAAAGCCTCAGCTTCCTCCTCTCCCTAACGGAGATAACCACAGAATTTACATCAGAAGCGTAGAGTTAAATGAAAACACATTTGACCCTCCACAGCTGACAGTTCACGTCTGTGGATCCAACACACCAGGGACAGAAAATATTTAGGACGTTTGCCTCTATACCGAACAGTGTGCATCTCTTCATCATGCCCTAAATAATACAATATAGCTACTTGTATAACATTTACACTGTCTTTGGTCTAATCTAGAGATGATTTAAAAACAGGGCGCCGTGTAGGTAATACGCAAAAACCACAATATTTTACACAAGGAACTTAGGCATTAAGGAAATTCCCCCAGGGGCGTGGAACCAACGTTCGTCATCCCCCGCCTCCTGAAAACCGTTTAGCATGCTGCCTGGCTCCAAGTACTCCATTAATACAGTTCAAATGCTGCCTGGCTTCAAGTACTCCATTAATACAGTTCAAACTCCAGTAACCTGGGCTAAAGCTCCTGTGTCCTAATTCCTTTCATAGCGTTTTCCCTGTCATGTCTCAAGGAACGCTTCTGGAATTAAAGCACACAACAGCCTGCCCCGGGAGGAGCAACGCAGCAGGTACCAAATCAGCCGTCAGAGTTGCGCATGCGCAGGCGTCCTCGCTTGCTGTGCGACGCGACGTAAAGTGCCGCTGACTGGTCCCGGCGTGTCCTCTAGGACTTACCCAGAAGGCTTCGCTTCGCTCTCGGGTCAAAATGGCGGGCCGACCTGCTGGTAAGTGACTGGGCTCTTGTCTGGGTGGGAGTTGCGGCACTCAGCCTTTTATTTTTCGTAGTGCGTTGCACCTCCTTTGCTCTCTCATTCACGGGGTAAGGGAAGTGGCAGCTCCAGGCCAGGCAAAAGGACGTGTTTCGCCGTTCCCAGGCCGGGCTTGAGGGCGTAGACGTCAGTCGTGGACCCCGCGGTGACTCTCACAGCCCCGAGCGCCGCTGCGGGTGCCTGAGTTTGTCGCCTCAGCTTTGCAAAGTTCAAGGCCACAGGGACAGAATTAGAGGATGACTGAAGTTCATCCAAAGCGAACTGCGGGCCTCCAGTGAGCCGTGCACTGTTAAGTACATGGGCTGCATAAGTTGTACCAGTGCGATGTCCTGTTTGCCCTTAAAACCGGCAAAGGGGTAGGAATTAAGAGGATCCAGACCGCATCCCGTCCTCGCGCTTATTACTGGGAATAGAGGCTGGCCCGCAAGGCTGATTGTGAAGCTTCAGGTCGACTTTGGTTTTTCCGGAACGTGAGCTTGATCCGTGTTTGGTGAAATGTCCCTATTGTAGGCACAAGAACAAACGCCATTGTTATGAACTAGAGTACAGAAATTGCCGGGTCCTTTAAAAATAACGTGCAGCTCCGTTACCGTAGTGCTCCCCCTTTTAACTAATCTGTGCTCTCTGGCGGTATAAATTGAAATAGCATTTTAAAAAATACTGGTGCTCTTCTCCCTGGTCCCCAGCAATTGTGAAACGATTAGGAAATAGATTGCTGGGTAAATCTGTTAACCTAAATGACATTGGGCTTTTGGGGGGGGGGGTAGAGAAAATATTTAAGAATTTTTCATTAAGTTTGGTAAATATTGAAGAAGCTTTACTACCTTCAAGGCATTATGTTTCTATGCTGTTTGGCAAACACACAGACATATTTTTACTAACAAGCTCTGACTTCGCTAATAACACTTCTGCGACGCCCGTTCCTTTTCTGCATCAACAGACAGATCACAAATAAAACAAGCTAATGTGGGTAAAACAGGAGAGTGCCTGGCACAAAATAAGTGTTCAGTGAATATTAATCATTTTCAAAGTCACTGGTAAATATGTTACATAATTTGTCTTCAATTTCTGTTTAGTGTTTGTTTTTTAAATCATGTTTTACCACATAGTTCAGGTTAGTCTTAGACTGTGTAGCCCAAGCTGGCCTTAAACTTGTGGTAAACAAATACGTTTTTAGATTGTTGACTCTTGATACCTTTTTTTTTCTAGAAGCAATTTTATATCTGGCTCTTAATTTCTAAGGCAGTTTACCAAAGCCATTGTAATCTGTAATATGCTGGGAACAGAGCACCAGGAGTTGAAGTGAAAGGACAGGGGTTTTTTCTTCCTTGGTAAGGTGCTAGATTTAGGTGACATTTTAAACTTGCTCTGCCTTCCCATCTGTACCACATCTGTCCTGTAAACATCAGGCACTGTCATGTTGTTCTTAGACCCTAATACACTGGTGGTGAACCTGTGGCACGCGTCCCTGTGCGCCCAGAGCACCCTCTCCATTGACACCCAAGCCAAGCTGCATCAGACGAATCGTCAGATTTAATTGCAGTGTTGGCACTTTTCAATCAATAAGTGGCTTTAGGGTTGCAGTTTGGGCACTCAGTCTCTAAAAGGTTTCCCATAGCAGCCCTGCCTGGTTTCTGTATCATGTTCAGCCTTGTCCAAAGAGTTTTAACGTTATTTTTTTCTCTTCACCCATGTTGGAATATTCATTTCCTCGAGGGAAAATTTAGTAGGGAGGAGAAAAATGAGCTTCTTTTACTAATCCATATTAATGTTAAAATGACTAATGGTCTAAAAATCCTTCCAGAAATGCATTTTTAAAAAAAGAAGTTGGCTAAGAGAAATAACGATAATGTAGACCAAAAGGTTTAGATGATGAGTCTGTAAGCCTGCCAGAGTATCCTGAAATCTCACTCCTGTTTCCTACAATTCTACCACCTTTGAAAAGAAAAAATTAATTATAGCTAAATATTCTGTTTTTGAAACTACAAATTGTAAATAAGTTTCAGGTCCCCTTCCTGTCTCCCACCCCTCCCTTCTGATGTACATAAAGGGACATATGGACTTGGAGTGCTGGATTCTGAGAAGCTGACATGGCAGTGAGTGTACCTGTGAGGCTGTTGTCTGTTAGGTTTTTGAGTTCACCTTTTCCCTTGTGACATGCTACTGATTTTTTTTTTTTTTTTGCCTGCAGTGTCTTTTGCTCAAAGCTAACATAAGCACTTCTATCTATAGCATATAGTATATAAGCTTTTAAAAGGAAATTCCTTCTTGTGTTTATAAAAAGATAACTAAGAGTATTGGTTGTTTGCATATTCATACAAATTAGTTAACTGTAACAAGTAACAGCGTGATAATTTCAGTTACAGCATCAGGCCGGTGGCTGGATAGTTTTCGAAAGTGGTATTATAACGCTGCAGGATTCAATAAGCTGGGTAAGTATCTATACTTTCTTCGCCTTTGGTATAGGGAGGTTGTTATTTGTTTTATTTTTCCCTTTTTTGAGAGGAGAAGGGTAAAGTCCTTTAAAATGTTTGAGGTAGAAATTATGTATGATAGCCAGATAATTTCTTTCTGCTCTTAAAAATTTTTAAATTTAAGTTATACAAACTTTGTGGAGTTTTGTTCAAAAATTGAAATTGTTTCACATCTTTACAATGCTATGATTTATGAGCTTTTTTAGTACTTTATTTATTTACTTATTTTTGGTACTGGAAATTGAACTTGGGACCTTGCACCTGCCAAACAGGTGCTGTACCCCTGAGCTATATCCCCAGCCCATTTTTTAAATACTTCATAATTTGCTCCAAGCTTCATCTTTTGTTACTGAATCTTAATAGAAGCATCATTAAATGTTACTGTTTCCTTAGTACACCATGATGTTTAGATTACTTAGTATCTTGATCCCAGATTTAAAGTATCAGAAACCAGAGATGTGGTTTATTGATGTATATTTAAGAACAAGTAAGCATCTTAAGTATCTTCTAAATTGGTTTAGGTGAAATGTGTCTTCCTTGGTGGTGTATTTTAAAAGACTCATGTATATCAAGAAGTAACTCATTGTATGTATAAATAAAGTGCTGTGAATCTCCACCACACCTAATGGTTTGAACTCTGGATATTTTGCTCAAATCTTAAGTTATAACTTAGACATTTTACTCTTTAAAAAAAACTCTAATTTTTGAGATGCATGTTTAATATAGCTTTATTGTCCATTAATAGGCTTAATGCGAGATGATACAATATATGAAGATGAAGATGTAAAAGAAGCTATAAGAAGGCTTCCAGAGAACCTTTATAATGACAGAATGTTTCGCATTAAGAGAGCACTGGACCTGAGCATGAAGCATCAGATCTTGCCTAAAGAACAATGGACAAAATATGAGGAGGTAAAACAGCTTTCATGTACCAGACAATGCTGGGCATTTAGGGTTGAGTTTTAAAAACAAAAACACATTCATTCTTGCAGTGCTTTAGAATTCTCAAAGCTGTGTCAAGTAAGTGTTTTTTCAGCAGCCCAGTGAGGTTAAGGGTGTTAGCTGTGTCTTAGAAACTTACTGAAACTTGGAGGTAAAGAGACTTGCAGAATCACCAAGCAAATCTCTTAAGAGACCAGGACTAGTACCCAGGTCTCCTGCCTCATAGGCCACTGCTGTTCTCCCTCTACATTCTGCTCCCTGCTCAGAGGAAAAGATTTTAGTGGTCGTGTGAAGCCCATTGAGGCCCCTCAGACCCTCATCCCTTAGACTGCTCTGCAACCAGGTAGATCTGTGCCCACTTATTCGTTTGTCTTTTCCAATGGACTTCCCTTCATAACCTATCAGAGAGACTCACTACAGTATCCGTGGGTTTTTACATTTTAAGCAGCAACTAGTTCTTAATGTGATTGAGAATATGTTTTCTTGAGAATAAAAATACTTAATTTTAATGGGCTTCATTTGTTAAGCCCTATTGAGTATTTGGGGTGTATCAGAATGCAGTAGTAGGATGTAATACTATTCTTTGATTCATTCTTTAGGATAAATTCTACCTTGAACCATATCTCAAAGAGGTTATCCGGGAAAGAAAAGAAAGAGAAGAATGGGCAAAGAAGTAATCACATAGTTGAAGTCTGTGAATGCAGCTGTCTTCAAAATATTTTTATGAACTTGGTTAAGCCTGAGACATGTAATTTAAGAATTAGTCTACAGACACCCTATGTTAAATAAATGTCTGTTGTAATCATTGTTGTAGTTTTTTTTATAAATTCTAAATCTTATCAGACAACTACTGAACTCACTTCATCTGTCACAGTTTTTTCAAAACTCCCATTATGTTTTTAGCCAATGTTTACCTCCTAGAGTTGAGAGAGACCACTTTAATCATTTCCTCACTGGTTGGGCAACCTGTCCTTGTACTGAAGCAGAATCATCACTGGTGGATTGTCTTTCTAGCTTAGGAGGATACTTGGAAGCTGCAACAGACTAGACTTTCACGTAGGGGAGTGGTGGCAAGAAATGATTGTCAGTGACTTTCTTGAAGCAAATAGAACACTCAACCAGCTGACTCAGCTTCAAAAACGAATGAAAGAGGGGTCTCCCTGGTTTGTCAGGAGTGAGAATCAGCCTCTTCAACTGCTATACTCCATATAGATTTAATTGCGTCCTACTGCTTTAAAAAAACCTATGTATGCACCTGATATAGGTATATGTGTGTTGTCTGGTTGTATGTATGTGTTCCCATACTAGGAGATGAAGTACACATTAGCAAGGTAGACGGTAATACAAAGATACATTATACTCCCTCTTAAACTATTGTTATAAAGTGTATTAAAGAACTTAGACATTAGTCAAAAGTTTGAAGATTATAGGCTAGTTTTTACAGTAGAAATGAGAACTCTTCAGCAGTGCCGCCATTCCCACCTTCTAACGTAAGATTCTCTCTGTGAACGTGCGAGTACATGGCAGCCAGCAGTCCAGGGCCTGGAGCACCTGCCTGATGCAGTGTTCGCAGCAGCTGCTGTGTGTACTGGGATTTTACAGCACACAGTGACAGGTTATGAGGAATAAGATTTGTATGTAGAAAAAAAGATTGTAAAATTTATAATCACAAGGTGCAGGTATATTTGCTATCTTTTCCACAAAAAGATACTTGAAAGATAATTGTTTGACTTTTGCAACATAACCATAAAGAGCACATTTTAAAAGTTTTGCTAAAATGTTAGCTTCATTGGATTGCCTAAAAGCATCTGATACTCAGACTGTACTCTGAAACACCTATCCTAGAAATTACTGTTAAATACATTAGCTCCTCATTCGATAATGATTTTACTCATAGAAAAAGTTCTTTAACAAAACTACATGCATGTGTATGTATGTAATACTGGGTATGCCCTAGGTTCCAGCTTAGGGAGCTATGTTCCCAGTTGAGCTATATCCCCAACCCTTTTATTTTAAACAGCTCTGTTGGGTGCCCAGGCTGGCACTGAACTTACAGTCCTGCCTTGGCCTTTACAGCAGTGATTACAGGTGTGCACTGTTAAGCTCAACCCAGCTCAGCTCTAATATTTAGGTGCCGCTAAGAGCAAGGCTAAAGCCAGTGCTTAAAGATGAGGTCAGACATCTGACCAAGGTTGAGGTCTTGGCCTACAAGGGTATCCCCCTGCTTGTGGGAGAAAGCATTGCAACACAACAGGGCAGGCTGAGTTCCTCCTAATACCAAACGTGCTTTTTTTTTTTTTTTTTTTTTTTTTTTTTTGTCTTTTTGGACAGGGTCTCGCTATGCAGTTCAGGCTGTCCTTGAGCTCACTTTGTAGCCCAGGCTGGTCTTGAACTTGCAATGATCCTCTTGCCTCAGCCTCCCGAGTGCTGGGATTATAGGCATGAGCCACCATCCCCGGCTAAAACTTGCTTTTTATATGGCTTGATTACCTCATCCTTCTAAGTAAAAAGTATGTGAAAGTTCTTTTAAAACCATAATATGCTACATCAGTGTTTCTACTGTGAATAGTTATTGTGCTTTCACAAAGAACAAGTGGAACTTGTATTTGGAACTTGTTAGCCTATTGGTGAAGTACTTTCCTTTGAAAGAGGAAGCCTTTGTGTTATCAAAAGCTGTCCTATCTGAACAGTCACCTTGGGAGTCTGAAACACAGGCACCTGTCATCCTGGAGACAGTATGAGTGACTCAGAGCTGAATCTGGAGCAGAGTACCCTGGCCTCAATACATTCACTTACTTCACAATTCTAGGAATACAATGTAAAACTTTCTGTGCCTCAGTTTCCTCAGCTCAAAAGTGGGGCCAGTGATGCAACCTGCTCTACAGGGTTGGTGTGGTAATTAACTCACTACAATGCATGTCAAGCATTCAGAACAGTTCCTGCCACACAGTAAGTGCTGCATGAGGGTCAGAAAAAATAACTTGGGGAAATACTGAGTATCCTCAAGTCTAATAGCTGACCCTTAGTCAAGGTCAGGGACATTCTCTTTATCCTCTGGCTCATATGAGGTACTCACTTTGGGTCCATCTGTTTCCCTTGGATGTCTGAGCTTTGTAAAGTAACCTGGGTGAGAAGAGGAGGGCTAGGATCATGGGACTCAGAACGGAGGCTCCCTAACACTGCTGTTCCCTTGCTTTGTCTTAGATGGGCAGTGTTTTCCAACTTCCAGCCTGTGACACCCTGCAAATTTGCTTTGTGCAGTTTAAAATGTTTAGTATCTTTTGTTCAAAATTTGAGAATGGTCTAGGCTTTGAATACCTGCTTCGTGAAGACCCTGAAGGAAGGGAGTGGTTTACTGCTCCCATGTTCTACTTTTTTCTCTCTCTTTTTAACTATTCTTTACAGTTCCATCCGCGGAGCAGAGAGCTGGCGTGTGTTCACTGTGGTGTGCTTTGAGCATCCCTTAGCCTACATGTTGCCAAGGTGTCAGAGGCAGAGGACAGCACACTGGAGCCTCCACTCCCTTGCCCCAGTGCTGATGCTGTTCCAAATTCCATATCACAGAAATATGTAATGACATTCCTGAACTAGTTCTCATCCTCCAACTACTGGTGAAATTCTTTGTTTGGCACCAAAATGCTAAATAAGAAATCTTCACTAGCTGCACCTTTGCAAATTCTAGCACCTTAGTAAAATCCCGATTGTGGATTGTGTTAATAATTTCGTGTAGCTATTTGAAGACTCACTTTTAATGCATCAGCTATGTGTTAATTCTGACAAGCTAAAAAGATTCAAAAATAGAACAATGCATGGGACCAAAGCCCAGAGTTCCTACAGCCATAAGACATACCCCAAATTCACAAACCGGTTTGTGTTTTAAAAATATAGACATCTTGTTTGGAGTTTTGACAATTACCAGAGTACTTGAATGAAAAATTTAGGTGAATATAAAAACTACCATAACCAAATCCTTACAGCGTGTTGTATATAAAGAGTAGATGGGTTAACACCCGGTGAACAGCCCACATTTTAAGGACATAGCAATGAATACAGTTACTGGACCAGCGGGACAGCTCATTAGAAAACAGTTCCTTTATTAGATCAAGGACAGAAGTCTCGCCATTAGGTGGCGACACGCTACAACTTTTCCCTTTGAAGGTGTGCCATGCCCTTGGGAGACATCCATTGTGTGCCCCTCGGACTCCCTCCCCTTCATTTTTCAGGATGACAACACCTTAGAGGTTTATGGCTACCAGGAGATTTATTACTAAGCTATATTCTGATGTAATGAAATCTAATATATGCTGGGCAATGAATTATGAGATGTTATTTAGTTTGGGGATTTTATTACTTCAATCAGTTATGACCATATTTCCTTTTATATGATTGCTCACTCTTTAAAAATACCAGATGACTGTATAAGGAACACCTAATAAAATCTATACATGTTAAAATATATATGTTTTAATTTATTTGCCGTAATTTGTTTAAATTCTGGTTATATGTACGTTTATATTAAAAACTATAACAAGTTAGAATGTAAGACCTCAGATCAGATGGTACCGCTAAGTTATATTTTGCTAAGAGATTTTGTTGCATGTATTAGCAATTCAACAGGAGGAAGAATGGAATCCTTACAGGATAGTTAAAATTCTTAGCATAGATGCCAAGAATCCTGTTAATATTTGAATGGTTTATGACAAACTATTTAAATAGTCATGCTGGATTCAGACTCTATCTCCTACAATACAAGGAATGTATTGTTTGTTTAACTTTGTATTTTAATACATTTGCCTATTTTGCATAAATGCCAGAAATGTACTTTTAAAATAACCCCTGTGAAACTTCTGGTAATATCATTCAATTGACTCATTGTTCTGTTAACATTCTAACTGCTTTTAAGAAAAAAATTATACGTATCTATGAGACTTATAAGACAAACCAAAAGAGATAATTATTTGTTTTAGGAGAGTCAGTTTACAATTTCTTTCTTAGGTGTGCATTTAAAATATTGTTTTGCATTAAGCTGAAAACTCAGGTCTAAGACCAATGATTTGACAAGGTCATTGCCCTTCATAGAAGGGTTCTTCCGCTATCAAATGAAGGAGTTTGACTACAAAGTCTTTAAGACTTAGTAAGACTCATTTCAGTACCACACCATTCTGCACCTGTGATTTAATTTATGCAATTTGTTTTTTGAGCTAATACTGATAAGATACAGGTATGTATTTTTAAATTTTATTGGTGTATTTTAGTTACACATAATGATAACATTCATCATAGGGAATTTGTACCTGTACATGATACACCTTGCTGCTGCTTTTTCCCCATTCCCTGCCCCTCCCTTCAACTCTCTCCTCCTCCTCAATTACAAAAGCTTTGCTTCCATTTTTTTTCTTGTCCTTTCTTTCCTTTCCCCATCACCTTCTTGTGTTCCGATTCTCATTTGGTTGTTTTCTTCCCATTTCCCAATATCTGTTATACAATTTGTCCTGATTTATACTTTGTTTCTCACACCAGAGAACCAGTGAAGTATTTAAACATGTGTCTGATTTGTTTCACTTAAGAGTATGGTCTCAAGGTGCATCCATTTAGCTAGAAATGTCTCAAGCTTACCCTTTATGGTAGAATAGTACTCTACTGTACTAAAAAACAAAAACAAAAACAAAAAAAATCTTTATCCATTCATTGGTAGATGGGCATTTGGGGAGTTTCCAGTATCTAGCTATTACAAACTGTGCCACTATAAATATGGGTGTGCAAATATTGCCGTGGTGTGATGCTTTTCATTCTTTTGGGAAGATA